ACCAAGCAAGTGTCCAGAGCAAAGGTCACAGCTCAGGTTTCCATCAGCCAAAACCGAACGTGCTCCTGTCTTCTGCAAGCAATCGACAGTGCCACTGAAGAGAAGCTTACACGGCTTACAGCACACCAGGCAAAACACGCACCGAACCCTCACATGTGGCTGCCAGAAGCTGTCATCACACCCACCCGACTCACAGGAACCCCGCGCACAAAGGCACAAGCCGCTGCCCCATCAACACACTGCTGACTTGTCCTCGTGACCCCCCGGGTTCCCATCGAATAGTTATCAGAAGTAGATCGCCAGGACTTTCTTACATGTCGATACTCCCCCAAAGAGCAACATGAGAGCCTCACTGACTTAAGAGGTGGAAATATATGAGATGTACTCACCAGGAATCGAACCTGGGTCTCCTGTGTGGCAGGTGAGCATTCTATCACTGAACCACCATTACCCTTTCGTCCTCAACAAGGGGAGGCGAGCTCATGAACTGCAGGATTCTCCTTCAAGGTTTATACAAGCCCATGAACACAAACACAACCTCTTACTTGACTTTTCCTGATCTTCCTCTGCTGTTTTACCCAAAGTACTTCAGGTCAACATGTGAACTTTACGGGCTGTAATAGGATCTCACAACATCTTTCTAATGCAAAACACAAAACAAAACAAAACACCACCCTCAAAAAAAAACCCCAACCAAAACCAAACCCCCAAAACAAACCCACAGCAAAACAGACTAAAAGTAATACTGCTAGTTATAAAACTTTCCTGTCGGATTATCAGGTAAGTTATCATACGGAAGTGGTCACAGGGAACAGCTAATAAGATACATCGCAGAATTTCCAAGCACAACATGTCGGAGGGGAAGGAAAATAAATTAGTGTATTTCCTCACATGAGCTGCAGCCCCGGGCACTGTTGTTACGAGCAAATCAGGAGAATCAACTTCCCAGCTGACATGGAAATGAGTCGTACTGGGCAGGGGCTCTGAGTGCAGTAACCTACAATCTCATTAACTCGGCAATCAATTTTCCAATCTGAATTGCATTCAGTTCTTTTTTTTTTATAAACCATCTAATAAATTGCCCAGCTTCTTTTCTGCTATGAAAGTGTCCTTGCCTTTGGATGCCTTGAACGGCAGACCACAGCTAGCAGGAGGCTTCAGAATTATCACAGATAAAAGAGTTTCATTGGTGCTACATACACACCAGATCCTATTTGACTTATTAAATGACATAATTTTGAAACTTTCTATATGGGAGCTCCGGTGGCTTAGTGGTTAAGGAGCTGGGCTGCTAATCCAAAGGTATGTGGTTTGAATCCACCAGCTGCTCCGTAGGAGAAAGGTGGGCAATCTCCTCTTGTACGATTAATCGCCTCTGAAAATCCACTGGAGGGTCACAGGTCTAACTTGATGGCACACAACAACATCACTAAGGTGACCTTTTCGGTTGCTGAAATGGAGTTTGTGGTGAAGAATAAAATCAGTGCGGGCGTTACCATCACAGGATCCGGGTGCTGCCGGCTGGGATGTGGGGAGGACATGTCTGCACAAGGGACAGCATGTCAGCAGAGCGCCTGAGGTCACAGCGCGTGCGCTTGAGCACCGGAGCTCGTAAACATCTCTAATAAACTCACATTAGCTCAGACAGTGCTTCCAATTCCCACCCTCCCCACTCACCCGTCAGTTAAGCTTGGGGGAGAATTCAGAACCAAAACCACTGCTTCACAGTGGACTCTGACTCCCAGCAACCCCACAGGACCCAGGAGATGTGCCCATTTCTGGGGCAGCCAACACATCGTAGCGGTGTCCAAGTTCCTGGCTGCTAACGAAAGCTTGGGGGGTTAAGCCCACTAGGGACCCTGCCAGTGAAAGAATGGGAAGTCCGGCTTCCCTAAGTTCACAGCCTCAGAAAGCTGGTGAGAGGTTCTAGTTTGCTCTACGGGGATGACAAAAGTTGGAACAGACTTGACGGCAGTGAGGTTTTTCAGTTTTTTGAAGGACAGAAAGTTAGCCCGAGATACGCCTGAGGAGGGCCCATTCCCTCCTGCTTTCACTTCATCCACAAGAAGAAGTGTGGAAAGCCCATGTCCACGATGGTCCACCCATCGACCCAGTGAAGAACCATTCACTGAACACAGATCCACGTCACAAGCTCAGATCCACCGACCTCTGTGCGTCACACCTTGGCTCCAGCCAGTGACCTTATCGCTTCTGTCTTCAGCTCTCTCCTGGCCGTGAACCCTCACACAGCACTTTCACTTCCCCAAGGGCTACGTGAGTTTCCTGCGCAGCCACAGCCCCGTCCCCCACGCTGCCTCCATCGCTCTGCCTGTGCCCGAGGATGGTCGCCTCCACGAGGATGGTCACCTCCACGAGGATGGTCGCCTCCACGAGGATGGTCGCCTCCACGAGGCTCACAGCAGCCTCCTCTATGCCCCTCCCTCCTGTGTTCAACGTTTCTGCTGCACCTCCCTTCCCAATTCCTGCTCGCAGCTGCTCTGCACCACCTCCCGATCATGATGGCGGAGTGTGTACGGGGCGGCTGAGAGGCCACACCAACCAGCTGCACCTGGGGCCTGATTCCAGCTCTGTCCTCACACTCCCTGAGGCACCGATGTCGCGTCCCTCCCGGACGTCCCTCTACCCTGCATCCCTCCTGGATGGCCCTCAGCATCACATCCCCCCACATCGCCTCTCTCCCAGTCACCCCTCCACGCTGTGAGTCTCCCGGGCGTCTGAACCAGCCTTCCAGTTCACTGATGGTGCAGCAGTTGTCCTACCAGAGCTATTTCAGCTCCCTAAAAATCCCTGGGTTCTCCCCTCAATCTCTCCTTCCTGAATCTCTCTTTCTAATTGACCTCCGCATACTTCCCAAGCCCACACCTTCCAGTCTGCATCGGGGCGCAGCTACCTGGCATTGTTTCATCTTTCCTTCCTCCTTGGCCTCCAGCTCTTTAAGTGACCCATAAACACAGTGGTGTCTCATTCAACTAAAGACACTGGTATCGTTAGCTCCTCATCACCACATTTGTAAGAAACAATTTGAGCAAACAACAAATGCTGGCGAGGTTGTGGAGAAACTGGAACCCTTATTCAACGTTCGTGGGAGTGTAAAATGGTGCAACCACTGTGGAAGGTGGAATGGCGCTTTCTCAGAAAGTTTTAAATAGAAATACCATTTGACCCAGCAATTCCACTACTGGGAATATACCCCAAAGAGACCATAGCTGACATCCAAGCAGATATATGTACACCCATGTTTATTGCGGCTTTGTTCACAATAGCAAGGAGTTGGAAACAACCTAAGTGCCCATCATCAAACAAACGGATAGAGAAGCTGTGGTATATTCACACAATGGAATACTACGCTGCATTGAAAAATAAGGAACTCATGCAATATTATTCAAAATGGGTGAGCCTGGAGGACATTATGCTGACTGAAATATCTCAGTCACAAAAGAACAAAATACTACAGAATGCCACTGTTATAAACCGGGACTGACATCAGGGTTGAGGGAAGACAGAGAAGGAAGGGTAAATAATGCATACTGCATTGAAAAAAATGAGGGAGAGAACTGTTTAAAAGGGATATATGATTGGGTATTATTGTCATGACAGGAGTCCAGAATGAAGGCTGCACAATGGAGTGGACTTGGGAGGAGGGATTGCATAACAATGAAAGAATTCTTCTTTAACTTTTCAAGGAGAAGAGTGAGGTGAACTGGGGGGAGGGGGTGGGCAGGGAGAAAAGTTCAACAATGAATGAATGGAAATCCAAAGTCTCTGAAAACTTTCACTAAAATTAATAAAAAAGAAAAAAACCCCAATACAAATCACCTTTACAGACAGAACACAGTGTCTATCACGGTGCACAAGCAACAGGAGGGACGGACAGTGTGGGAAAGTGAACAGGGAAATGCTTCCGGGCCACGACAGGCCAGGTCTCACACGCTTGGCCGCCACACTGAGATTTAATTTGCTGTTTTCTGAGCAAGGAGAGGCAGGGCAGGGCTTCAGGAAGACAGTGGGGGTGTGGAAAACCCAGCTGGAGGAATAAGGAAATCCAGGATGGTGAGAAGAGGGCGGAGGCGGCAGCATTCCGAGCTGTGAGCTATTTGGCTTCTGGAGCCAGTACCCGCCAAAGCAGACAGTTCTGGCTGGAGGCAGATGTCTAGGTGGAGACACTCAGAGGGCGGGGAGGGGTGTGGATGAAGGAACTCACACGGTCTAGAGACTGGGTTTGAGAGGCAGGGGTTGGAGTCACTGTCACAGAGGCCATGGCTGGAGGAAGGAGACTGGATTAAATACTGAGGGAGTGAATGAGTGAAGAGGAGGGGACATGAAGAGGCCTGGCACAGGGCTCCTGAAGGCGGAGCAGTGGCCTTCATTTAATGACCAGCAGAGAGAGAATGGAAAAATAAGACCAACAGAGAAGACATGCCAGGGACGAGGATGGTGGCTGGACACAGAAGCAAGAAAATACAAGAATCTGATCAAGTAAAATTTCTAAAGTGCAGAGGACAGAAGAAAGGCGGGAGAGAAGATCTGGGGTGGGTGCTGGTTACTGTCTCCTGCACCTGATGGGTGACAGGGTTGCGTCCTGCGGAGGGCCTGTGTAGGAGGTGGACTGTTCTGAGGCCTGCGAGGTGGTTCCCCGTGGCTGTGAATCCAGCACCAAGTCCACACCAGTGTCCTTCCCAAGCACCTGCCCTCTGCAGGGATGCCAAGCACACCACCAGGAGGGGCCAAAGTGACCCTTGGAATTGGAGTGCTATGTCCACCTGGCAGGGATGGACTGCCATGTTCTGTCCACAAGGGAAAGCCCCTTTCTCCTAGTTCAACCTCATCATGTAATTAAGTTCAACAAAAGATTAATGTGCGATTTGACACGGACCAGCAGTGAGTGCTGTGGCCCAGGGGGGGCGTAACGGAGCCGCAGAACAGTGACACTTGGAGTGTGACACACACACACACACACACACACACACGCACCCCCTCACCTGCACCAGCGTCTCCAGCGTGAAGATGTGCTCCCCATGCGCGTTGTAGAACTTGACCAGTGCGTTCTTCTGCGGGCCACTGAGGAGTTCTTCCAGGGGGTTCTGTCGGAGCATCCCGGCCACCGCCAGCAAGTCCCCCTGTGTGCACCACTGTGCCACCACATCTGGAAGCAGAGGGAGACGCTGACAGCACGGGTACCCTGCTGCTGCAGAGGGAGGGCTACAATCAGGGGCCCCTCCTCTCGCTCATGTAAAGCAGCACTTTTCCCACTGCTCTTAAGACAAAGTGGCCTCTAAGAAAGAAAACAGAGGCTCGCTCGGTGGACGGCAATGGTCGTTGCTGCGTGCCATCAAGTTGAATGGACCCTCAGCTGACTCTCCACTGGGCTTTCAGAGCAGTAAACTGACAGAAGGAGGTTACACATCTTTCTCCCGTGGAGCAGCTAATGGATTTGAACCATGTGCTTCTGGGTTGGCAGCACCTAACCCCTAACCCACGAGAGATCCATGAAACACCTAGATCAAGTGAAAACCTTCACCTGCCCTGCGGTGCCAGGGGCTCCATGGGGGGCTGCAGGAAGCAGTAGGAGGACAGAATCTCTGCGCATCACGGGAACACATTCCCCACGCGCTCCCCGAGACCCCTCAAAACTCACAAATGCTGAGAGCTAAACATCAAAAGCAAAGGCCAAGCTCATACTTTCAGATCTGTGTGCACAGAGGTGATAGTGGTTAGGGCCAGGACGGGCAGGCCCGTGAAGGCCCCGTGAAGGCCCCGACTCTCATTCAGCATGGAATGAGGGGGACCGTGGACAGGATCCCGAGCCCCTGGGGCTGGAGCTGTGGCCAGAGAAACGTCGGCAGGCTCTGGAGGTGTGATTCCCACCTGTGAGTCACTGGGATTTGCTCCGCTGCTGTCAGGCCCACCGAGCGGGCTCTAACTCACAGGGACGACCCCTCAGACAGCAGGATGAAACCCTGCCCACTCCTTCCCCACGGCGCTGCTAGCACGGAGCCCCTGCCCACTCCCTTTCAGAACCCACAGCACTGCTAGCACGGAGCCCATGGCTACAGCCACTGGGCCAATCCATGTCGTTGAGGGCCTTCCTCTTCTCCACTGACCGTCTACTTTACCAGGCCACTAACCCAAAGGGCAGGGGTTTGAACCTGCTCAGAGCTTGGTGGCAGTAAGGGTGGCAGTTTGCTTCCACAAAGACTGCAGCCCCAGAAGCTGTAGGAGGCAGCTACCCTCCCCCTCCAGGGCCCATCAGTCAGCACCAACCTCGTGGCAGTGAGCGCTGTACCGTGCGCATCACCACTGTGCTGTGTGTCAAACCACAGAGGCTCGATGTTGTTAAGTGTTGTCTAGTCACGTATGACTCCCAGCAACCCCGTGAACGACGATCCGAACCCTGTCCTGTCCCGAGCCAGACTCACAGTCTCTGACACACTCAGGCCCACTGCTGCAGCCGCTGTGTCAGTCCCCCTCACTGAGGGTCTTCCTCTCTTTCACTGACCCTCCACTTTTCCAAGCATGATGCCTCTCTTCAAGGAAAAGCCTCCCCGGGTCTGCCCTTTGGTTGCTGAGAACGTAAAAGGAACCAAAACCAAATCCCACATGAATGCTGCTTAAATCCCATGTGAGCGCTGGGTCCTTGAAATATTCTCATTCCTGGACAGAAAACTGCCTATGCACCAACAGTGCACCAAACGGAATCAAACTTCCTGAAATCAGAACAGCTCCCCGTGAAAGCCACTAACAGAGGCCCTGAGTCCAATTCACAGGAGCTTCATGTGTGTAAGAGCAGAGCTGCTGTCCGCAGCATCTTCTTGGCGGCCATGGCACTGGAAACAGATTGCCAGGCCTTTCTTCCTGGTGCCAAGCCAAGTCTGAATTGCCAACCTGTAGGTCAGGAGTGGGGCATAAACCGTTTGTGCCACCCAGGCACTGTGACATTCTCGTCACCTCTTGACTGCTGCCGTGTGCTGTTTGGAGGATTCCAGTTCACAGCAATCCCACAGGATGGACTAGAATCACCCCGTAGGGTCTCCTAGGCTAGAGTCTTGAAGGGGAAGAAGCCCTGGCTTCACAGTTGGCTGTGTGTTGGGCCGCCAGCTGAAAGGACAGCGGTTAGAATCCACAGCTGCTCCGCTGGAGAAAGGTGGGCAGCCTGCTCCCATCGAGGGTCCACTGACAGCCACAGAAATCCGATGAAGGATGTCCATGAGTCGGAACTGAGCTGACGGCAGTGAACCTGGCTTTGGCTGGGTTTCATCTTTTGTTTTTACTAATATAAAATATAATTTTTTATTTACTACTTTTTTTAACAAAAGCTTTCTCTTAGGTTCAGCAAAGTTACCAAACTAAAGCCCTATTGTTGCCTTTCCCCTCCCTGACTGTAATCTAGGAGTCACTCCTTTTAGTCACATGTGAATAGCACCAACTGTTTCCAGAATTTGGTAAGGCCGAGATCAGCTACTCTAGGAACTGGCCATTGACCCAGACAAAAGACAGTGATTGTAAAAATGTCTCACTTTCCCATTGTCCTCCCCACCCTACTCTCTGACCCCCAAACAGAGACTGATTTAGGAAGTTCTTATCCCACCCCCACACACACACACACTCTTAACCCCTCTTTCTCTTTCTCTCTCTCTCTCTCACACACACACACACTTAGCCGCTGCTTCCAATATTATTTCCACTCCCACCCCCAACCTTGGTTGCAGAACTGTGGATTTCAGGGAACAAAATCATGTAATAAAAGCTTTCCCAGCGATTTTATCTCACTTTCAGGCACAGGCTGGGTTTCATCTTTATGGGAGCCATGTCTTGTCTCCCAGGAAGCTGCTGGTGGATTTGAATAGCTGATCTTCTGGTTAGCCGTCAAGCGCTATAACTACCGTGTAATAAGGGCTCCTTACTGGTCTGGGGTTTTGGGCTAAATATCCCGTGTGTTCCCACTCCTGTACTGCATGGTGGTGGTCCTGTGTCAGAAGCGCTGCCTGCTATAATCTGATCTGGCAGACGTCAGAAGAAACAGCACAGCCGAGGAGTAAGAACAGTTTCCACACACAGAACTGTGAACAATTACAAAAAGGCACTACAGGTAGGAGGATTAAAAGCAGCTGAGTGGAATATGTTTTCAGTCTTGACTGGATATTTGGGAGAAGACCAAGCCTGGAATGCTGGAATCAAAAGCAATTTCCAAAGAAAGTAAGAAACCTGGTTATAAGGTTGGGAAGAAGTATTTTTGAATGGGGAAAAAAAATCAGTAGAACTTGAACATCAGCGGGCCGCAGGGAGAATTTACGATGGCCACCCTGCATGAATGACAGAACATGCAGAAAATAATGAATGAGACCATGCACTGGGCTGAGACAGAAGACACTCTGCTTCCAGGGGCCAGATGGGGTTTTAAGGACATCTTCACCCTTTTTAGATTTATGGACTGAAGACATCTTTAGAATTCCAGTTCTGAAACAGCAGGATGGGTTGCTCAAAAGAGGGAGCGGAATTTGCTTCTGAAAATATTTTCTGGTTTAAAATAGACTTAGTACTGGAGGTGGGAGGTGAGGGGCGTGGAGAGAGGGAAGCTGCGTTTCTACCAGCCAGCAGCTAAGTGCTAGAGTGCGACTTGCCATTACGGGCGTCCCAAAGAACTCAAGGCTGGAGAGGCCGCACACGGGCCAAGGGCCATTTCTGAGTGGCAGGTGGACATTGTACTGAGGGTGCAGGCTAGTCCCCATCCTCTGAAATCCACACCCCACCTCCTGGTCCCTATCACAGGCCAGAGCAGGCCCAGGAATGAACATTCAACCCTGCACCGCACCTGTCCACCTTATCAGACGGAACTGTGTCCCAGAGAACCCATCAGGGTCACTTTAGCACTATTTTTTAATTCAGAACCTTCTAGATGCATCCACACATGGGTTTTTCTTTTTCCTGAGAAACCACATCTGTAAACTGTCATATCAGCGCCTCAGCCTGCAATGGTGGAAGTGGCCCACTTGTTCCTGAGTGACATTACTGCACGATGGCTGGTCGCTCCATCAGCCAGCCAGATGCTGCCCCCTCTTACTGCCCCCACGTGACACGAGCTCAATGGGGTAACGGAGCAAGCCCAGGGTGTGACGCAGGAGACGGTCACAGCAGTGTCACAGAGTGAAAGAGCGCGTTCCGGCCAATGTGCCCCAGGGAGCCCTCAAGATGGGACAGGTTATGGACTGGTCGGTCAGGTAAGCAGAGGCGGTGACTGGGGGTGGCCTTCAGTAACGAGAGCCCACAGCAGGGAACACGAATGAACGGGGCTCGTGGGGCAGGCAGGCTCCGTACCTTTCAGCCCCGTGTAGATGACAGTCGGGGACAAGTCGTCGTAGCTGCTCATCAGGGTGATGTCTCCCGAGGTGAAGCTGACGGTGAGTAGGGGCTTGATGTTCTGCACCGGGATGGGGTACGCCGCGGGGCCGTCTGCAGGACAGGGTGCCATGTGAAGGACGGTGCGAGCACGTGACCCCAACCCACACCCACCAGGCCGCCGCCCGCCCAATGCCATCGGAACTGCCCGCTAGTGCCCATTGCTTAGGGAGCTCTGGTGGGTCCAGTGAGTAGGAGTGGTGCTAGCAACCTAAAGACAGGTGGTTCGAATTCACCAGCTAGTTCGTGGAAAAAAGACGGGCGAGCGCCTCTCCTGTGATTTACAGCCTCTGAAAACCTGCTGCGAGTTAAGCAGGTTTTCAAGTTGGCGCCAACTGGCTGGCACACAGCAACAGCAAGTGTGGAGCAGGGGGTAGGGGGATTAATCACTGGGTTGTACAATTTGATGGGTGGGTGGGGTGAGGGAAATGGAAAGAATCTGTTCAAATTTGTATTTGAATTTTGTAAACAAACTAGTAGAAAAAGAAAAAAAGAAGAAAATAACAACAACAACAAAAACCCAACCCCCCAAAACCACTTGACTGGGGTGTTAATAAATGAGGCAAGCATTCCCCATCATTGCAACAGCAGAAGGGTGATGGGGGCCAGGACATGGTGTGGAAAGGACCTCCTCGGTGGGGGCAGGTGACAGTGACTTTGTCAGCCTGAGAGGCTAGGAATACACTCAGCACCTGTGCCAGGAGGTCCGACCAGGAAGGACGTACGGGTGCACATCCCACGTGGGTGGATGGAGTTAAGGGCCTGAGGATCACTCTTCCCTTCCAGGACCTGCTGATCCTTCAATGTCACACATTTTTCCCCCCAGATGTTTCAACATTGCCTTTTCCTCTTTTAAAAACAAAAACCTAGCAACTGATTGAGCAAACTGATTGCTGGGAAGTGTAGCCTGTAGCCCCCTCTGTGTCAGAAGAGGGAAAAAAGATGAGACCACCACACACAGCAGAGGCAGAATGTGCTTGTAGACCAGAAGGTTGTCCACGGAGTAGAAAGTCACCTGTAAACTGCAGGCCCCCCATACACTGGAGAACTGACTATAAACTAAACTAGGTCACCTACAGACTAGACTAGACTAGACTAGACTAGAAGGCCACCGTGGATTACACAGACGGACACTGAAGTCTAGAAGACCATCTGTGGACTAGGTGGTCACTCAGAGCCTAGACCAAAGGACCACTCATGGACTAGAGGGTTAGTGTGGATTAGAGGGCCGCCGGTGGACTTTAGGGAGACTCCCCCAGACAAGAGGGTTGTCCACTGATTAGAGGGCCACCTGTGGCGTAGACGGCTACTTGTAGACCCCACTACAGAAGGTCTGCTGTAGCCTAGACTAGAAGACCACTAAGACTACAGAGCTTCCTGTAAACCAGACGATCACTTGTGGACTAGAAGGCCACCCACAGACTAGCAGGCCACCCATAGACTAAATTGGAAAGCCACCTGTTGCCTAGAGAGAGGGCTACCAGTGGACAGGACGAGAGGGCTATTTGCAGACCAGAGGGTTGTGTGCAGACTAGACCAGAGAGTAGTCATCCACAGAGTAAATACTAGTGGGTCAACCACAGACTAGACTTGAAGGCCACTCATTAATATGAGGTCACCCACACCCTAGACTAGAGGGTCACTGCACACCAGAATGCTGCCTCCAAAGACTACAAGGTTGTCCACAGATGAGACTGTTATTGTTGTGTGAGAACTGACTCATATCTGACCCTTCAGTGGGTTTTTAGAGGCAGCAAATCACATAGTAGGAGACTGTTCATCCTTTCCTTCTCTCATGGAGCAAATGATGCATTTGAACCGTGAGCCTTTGTCTTGCAGAGCAGCTTCTTATCACGAGGCCACCTGAGCTCCCTTTAGATAGACTAGAGGTTTGTAAGTAAACACAACCAGAGAGCCATCCACAGATGGGACTAGAGGACCATGTGCAGACTGGAGGGGTGTCCACAGACTAGAAGGTAGGCCTCCTGTAGATCAGAAGAGAAGGCTCTGCCTATGGACTCGATTCAGAGGCCGCCTGTAGAATAGACTGGAAGGTCACTCACTGCCTACATCATGGGTAGACTAGAAGGCAGCCCATCCCCCGGAGGGCTGAGCTACCCATCCCCCGGAGGGTAGCTCAGCCCACAGTGATCGCAGATGCACCAAGTGTAGGCAGGAGTCCTGCAGCTGTGTGCTAACTCTGGACCATCAGGTACCTGCAGCAGTGTGCTAACTCCTGCCCACAAGCCACCTGCAGCTGTGAGCTAACTCCTGCCCACAGACCATCACCTGCAGCTGTGTGCTAACTCCTGCCCCTGGTCCCCCACCTACAGCTGTCAGTTAACTCCTGCCCCCTGGACCCCACCTGCAGCTGTGAGCTAACTCCTGCCCATAGACAATCACCTGCAGCTGTGAGCTAACTCCTGCCCCCGCCCTGGACCCCACCTGCAGCTGTGAGCTAATGTCTGCCCATGGACCATCTCTTTCTACTGTTTTCTTTTATAGACAGAGGGGTGCAGGAGTGGGATACTGGTGAAGACCAAAGGCTGGGCAGGAGCAAGCTGAGCGTGGACACCAGTGACAGCCAGCATCAGAAGCAAAGGCCACCTCTTTTGTCAGGCCCTCTACGCCGAGGAGGAACCAAAGGCACAGTGGAGAGAGGAGGCTGGAGTCTCAACACAGTCCCATCAGAGTGGGAACAGCCCTTCACCACCTTACAAATGTTTATACTCTGATGTCAATGCATCTCGGGCTGCTTGGGGCTCGGGGAGCGGTGGCGTGGGGGAGTTCTTCTCAACTGAGGAACAGAGTGGCTTCTGCCTGAGGCACAGGACAGGGAGTGGATTATCAGCCTGAGGTGCTGGCCTTCGCCGTGGGCAGAGGGTCCTTGTTCCACACGACGGAAGCTGGGGTTTTAATAACATCAGGGATTCGGAGATACCACATATTAAGTTATAGTAATAGCTCAGAAGTTTTCACCTTCAGCTCTCTCTTATCCTTGTTAAGCAGCTAAGCCCCACAACACCCCAGGGACATGGGAGGGCTGTGTGTCTTCTGCCGAAGGACAGTGAAGTCAGTGGTGCTCAGGCCACCTGTCCCACAG